TTATGACCTCCTAGTTTTGTTGCTTTTTAAAGACATTAATAAGATCCATTTCCATTTAAAGTTTTTTTTTCAAGATTCCCGACCCTTTCTTTGTTTTCTTCTTGTTGGGCGTTTATCATTTCTTTAAGCTCTTTGTTTTGCTATTTTTGTTTAGCAACAAGCTCCCTCATATCTTCTATTTTTTTATTTTTTTCCGGAATGTAAGATACATCCGTTTTACCATTCCTATTGGGAACTGCCTTTGCAAAAGAGCCTAATCCATAAAGTCTTCTTTTTTGTCATGACCACCAACAACATCATAAAATAACTAGTCATCCTCAAATTCAGTACCTTCAGCTTCCAACTCTTCCCGTTTTCCTGTAAAGGGTGCCTACAAAATGAAATTAATATAAGTTAAAAGATATCAAATTTATGAATGAAATTATGGACTAGCTACAATATAAAACTTTAACACTCAAATGAATATTACATGAATTTGTCTATTTTTTTCATTTGTGAAAGTGAGTCCATCGTGATTCTTTGTGTGTGTATACAAGAACAACTCACTATGGGGTGGATCACGTCCTAATTTCCTCTTCTGCATAAATACCATATAAAATGTCAAATATATAGATAAACATATATAAACATTGATACGATGTACCATTAAAAAAATTACCAAATCAGAAGCTATCTTTAAATAACTTGTGGATCCAGCGTTATATGTAGGTTTTACTACTCCATCAGTCACACTGTTACGCCTATTTTTCTTCTTGTGCTCAGATTTTAGCTTGTATTCATCTGTATTCCATTCTAAGTGTCAGGAGTTCCACACTTCCTGTGGAATATGAGCTGCTTTAAAGCCATGTTTGTTTCGTTTTGGGCTCCGCATGTTGAAGAGATATTAACCATAACTTTGGGCCGCTTTCCTTGCCCAAGCTTGCCTCACAAGCGAGTCTACTGTTTCACCCCAACAACATTTTTTCTACACATTAACAATATAAACAAAAGTTTAAGTGTAAATGTTTACCAAAATTTTTTTTATCACATATAGTTAATTACCTGAAACTCCTCCCAATATAATTCGCGCATTTCTTTGGTTACTTTTACCCAAGCGTACCCTTGTGGACCTACTCTTTGTATAAAGGACCAACTAGTAAATATATACAAAGGCCTGGTGGCATGAGCTTGTAAGTAATCATGTGCTGGTTTAGGTTTTGAATTGATATGTACGTGTAAACGAAAAGGTTATACATAGAAAAGGTTGTAAGATATGATTGGTAACTCACATTTGTTTTCCAAACATGAACAACTAAACGTCAATCTCATCCACAATCTTCAGATGAATTGTTTTCACCTGGTACATTTTCCACTACAGATTCATTCATGGTTGGTTGTGTTGGTGATGGGGTAGATTATGGGATAAGTGTTGTTGATGGGGTATATTCTAGGGTAGTTGTTGGGATAGATGTAGATATGGTAGTTCCTTTACTTAAGGAGGATGTTGTAGTTATTGTAGTTGTAGTTGCAAGTTTTGACGTTGTGGTAGTAGATATAGGTGTTGTGGTAGTGGGTGTCAGGGTTGAGGATAGTTTAGGTGATGTAGGTGCTGAAGTTTTGGTTATTGATGTAAGTGTTGAGGATTGTATTCTTCTAGTTTTTGAACTTTTAGTTGTATTTTATAAGGACAGTGTGGATGTTGTAAGTAATGCCGAAGAAGTGGTAGTCATGGTTGGTGTTAAAGAGTTGGGTTTAGGGGTTTTGTTGGTAGATGTTATAGGTGCATTGGATGTGGTTCTTGGTATTGGGAAGTCGATTTCTTCATCTTGTAATTTTCTGCTTATGAATTTTGCAGTTGAAGTCCTATTGTGGTTCAAAACCTGTGGTGTAATGAATTTAGTTGGCTTCACACCGGATACTCATTTTGCTTTCAAGTTCGACATCTTTCTTGCTTAAAAATAAACAATAAATTGTAGTCAATACCAATTTATTAAAGATGATAAACTACTGATGAGGAGAGAGAACAAACAAACAATAAAAATAAATTATATATGAAGGCATTATTACGCATGCAAAACTGTTGAATACAATAAAAACCAATTAATTTTAATTTTAGAAGATAATATACATGAAGATGGTCATAGAACAAGAAACGATAATCACAACAGTATAAAAATAAATTTTAGATGAGTGAGAACCTATATCTCCAAAGTCAGTACACAAACGTATAATGAACAAAGATTTCGATCAATTTGCTGCCAGAAATGATGATTACAGATAATGTAAACCCTATTTTTAATCAGTAAACTTACCCAAATATGCAGCCTAAACGTGTGTAGGTTAGAGGGAAAGGAATTGTGATATATTTTGAAGATCTACTAATGAAAAATTCGAAATGTGCTAACTAGCGCTAAATATTTAGTAATTCAAATTTATTAAATTAGTTCCAGATTGATAGATAAGGTATATATATATATAACGTCAAGAAAGAACATAGACTAACGAGGTCTTCATAGCATAATTCTAATTTAAAATTATGAACTAGGATTAAACATTAATAAACTATATATCTTTATGTTGTTATGTTTAAACCAAAATTTATATATAAAATACCTATAGGTCATGCCAATATATATGGTAGTTGCTTATGGTGTCATGGTATCACCAATGGATGACCATATGGGTCATTGGTCAACATATGGTAGTTGCTTAGGGTGTCCATGGATGACATATGGTTCATTGGTCAACATGGTAGTTACTTATGGTGTCCATGTCACATATGGGTTATTGGTCAACATATGGTAGTTGCTTATGGTGTCCATGGATGACATATGGGTCATTCGGGAAGATGGTAGTTGCTTATGGTGTCCATGAATGACATATGGATCATTGGTCAACATGTGGTAGTTGCTTATGGTGTCCATGGATGACATATAGATCATTGGTCAACATGATAGTTGCTTATGGTGTCCTTTGATGACATATGCATCATTGGTCAACATATGGTAGTTGCTTATGGTGTCCATGGATGACATATGGGTCATTAGTCAAGACATGGTAGTTGTTTATGGTGTCCATTGACGACATATGACGGATGACATATGGGTCATTAGTCAAGACATAGTAGTTGCTTATGGTGTCCATGGATGACATATGAGTCATTGGTCAACATATAGTAGTTGCTTATGGTGTCGATAGATGGCATATGGGTCATTGGTCAACATGGTAGTTGCTTATCGTGTCCATGGATGACATATAGGTCATTGGTCAACATGGTAGTTGCTTATGGTATCCATGGATGACATATGGGTCATTGGTCAACATATGGTAGTTTCTTATGGTGTTCATGGGTGACATATGGGTCATTAGTCAAAACATGGTAGTCGCTTATAGTGTCTATGGATGACATATGGTAGTTGCTTACAGTGTCCATGGATGACATATGGGTCATTGGTCAACATAGTAGTTGCTTACGGTGTCCATGGATGACATATAGGCCATTTCTCAACATATGGTTGTTGCATATGGTGTCCATGGATGACATATGGGTCATTGGTCAACATGGTAGTTGCTTATGGTGTCTATGGATGACATATGCGTCATTGGTCAACACGGTAGTTCCTTATTGTGTCCATGGATGACATATGGGTCATTGGTCAACATATGGTAGTTGCTTATGGTGTCTGTGGATGGCGTATGGTTCATTGGTCAACATATGGTAGTTGCTTATAGTGCCCATGGATGACATATGGGTCATTGGTCAACAAATGGTAGTTGCTTATGGTGTCTATGGACGACATATGGGTCATTGGTCAACATCTGGTTGTCTCTTATGGTGTCCATCGATAACATATGGGTCATCGGTCAACTTGGTAGTTGCTTATGGTGTCCATGGATGGCATATGGTTCGGTCAACATATGATAGTTGCTTATGGTGTCCATAGATGGCATATGGGTTATTGGTCAACATATGGTAGTTTCTTATGATGTCCATGGATGACATATGGGTCATTGGTCAACACATGGTAGTTGCTTATGGTGTCCATAGATGACATATGGGTCAGGTGTCAACACATGGTAGTTGTTTATGGTGTCCTTGGATAACATATGGGTCATTGGTCAACATATGGTAGTTGCTTATGGTCAACATGGGCTGCAATATTAAAGAACATAATATAAAGGTTATTCAATTTAAAGAAATGAAGTTATTTTAGTTTAGTTAGAAGACGCGTCTTACGTCTAACCCGAAGTCGCAGGTTCGAATCCTATTTCTTTCAATAACTTTATTTAAATTCGTCTTTTTAAATTTAAACAATAATTTTATTTAACTCCGTCTTTTTAAATTTAAACTATCAAAGTTCCACATTACCCTATAAAAAGTTAGAATGTCTAAATAATTTATTTTTACACAAATACCCATAGGTATTGACAAAAATACCCTAACCATTTACGTATTAACCTTTGTACATTTATGGGAAATTGTGTAAATTCATAGTCTAAACACTTAGGCGCCATAATTTGGAGTCAAAATCATCCTGTCGTTTCAGTTTATCGGCGATAGATCAATTACAATCCATTCCTAACCATCAAACTTCTGGCAGGTTGATCAATAAATCCTAAAATTGTTCTTGTTACATAATTTGAATTACACTCGAAGCAGTTCAACATAATGGCAGCGAGTTCTTCATCAGAAAGAATGTGAACAAGACAACAAGGAACAAGGATCACTGCTTTGCATCGCACTTGATCGAAAAAATAGTAACTACGGTTGGGGAAAAATCACTAATGGATGCTTTTAAGTGCCAGCTAGTGTAAGTATGTTGTACATTACTTCTATTATACTTGTATACATAGTTAATATATTGTTTAATATATTAATTTTGTTGATTTTTGTGAGTTATAGTTGCAAATTCTTTAGGGATACCGTAACATCAGACATAATATATAAAACCATAGACACAAATCTATTAATGTTTCATCCATTTAGTGTTCATACGTATGAAGTCTTAAGTAGATGCAGAATGTTGAACAACCCACACATACTCTTCAACGATGGAATGGTACTCTTCGTTTAAGCATACATATAATTACGAATGAAATTAGTTTTCTATATTTGTATTATTAAAATTGTATGATTACTTATTGTATGTCAGGTGAAGTATTTTTTGTTAGGGGAAGAAATAGCAAGGAAACAGTTACTTCAAGGTGCAACCGATAAGGGAAAGTTAGATGCAATCTTTGTTCTGGGAATGATGTTGATGGCTGAAGGCGGTGAAAGGAAGCAAGAAGCTCTGATCATGTTGAATAATGCCTACATAAATACAAGAAGAAGTTGGAATCTGAGACATACCTGTTACAAGGTTCAAATCCACTTGGTAAGGAGATTAAAGCAGATACAATTCCATGGCTTACATAAAAGTTGTGCAAAGCATCCTTCTATGGGTAGTTATGGAATAACTGTAACGACGTAAATTTTAAAACCAATTTTTCATTTTTGCAATCATCAAAACATCGATTAATATTTTAAATTCAACGTAAACAATATTGTCACAACCGAATACATCACAAAGATCATAAATTAGTTTCCCCGATAATGTGTACGATCACACCGGCGCCTTCCCACGGTCCTCGCTAGTACCTGAAACACATAACACAACAACTGTAAGCATAATTGCTTAGTGAGTTCCCCAAAATACAACCTACGCACATACGCTTTTCCAGGCCCCGACCTTCCGGTCCGTGTGTCTCAGGGGACTTCCGTCCCGACTGGGTAAACCTTCCGGTCCTACCCACATCAACCATACGGTCCATATTACAACGCCTTCCGGCCCATAATATATTCGCCTTCCGGCCCAATACATAATGCCTTCCGGCCCATATCAAGCATATCATACATGGCACATATAACGATTAACTTATCACAGATAATGCATACATCTCATATCATATTCGACCTTCCGGTCACACAGTCAAACCCTTCCGGGTACAGTATAGTGAGAAGACTCACCTCGTATATCTCGATAACTCGCGAATCCTAGAAATCACTCGTGCTCGATCCCCTGAGCTATAATCCTCCTATAACATCATATATCTCGAATTAATACTTTTACCACTATGGTTTGTTGGATAAGGTGTCTAAGTCCATAACTATTTCTGGTATGTACTTGACCCGACCCGGCATGGTCCATTTGGGTTGCATGGCACCATGCAATTGGATAGACTAAATGAGAGAAATAACACTTGGAGATTATTAATATATTATAAGTTCTAATATATTAATAATATTATTTGATTAGTTTGATCAAGAATTAATTTAGAATTAATTATGTGATCAAAAGATAACTAATTAAATATATGGGTTGATTATGTAAATCATCCATATCTTGTATAGTGGGCTAAAAGGCTCCATGGACTATCAAGTTGGGTTCCACCCATAGATGCTCCATGGATGCTCCATGGGAGTTACAAACCCATGGGTCATGGAAATGAAGAGTCATGACACATTAGGGTTTAACCCTAGATGTGTCAACACTATATAAGAAACATGTTCTCCACCTAAAATCGGCTACACTAAGAAATAAGAGGGCTTGGCCGATTTTGAAGAAGTGTGTGTTCTCTCATAAGTTCTTCCAAGAGCATTTGGTGTTGTGTGAAGCATTTGAGGCATCACACTTGGGGTGCTAGGCTCACAAGGTTTCAAGGAACACAAACAACAACAAGGTAAGTTATTCTATCTATACTTTATGTTAAAATTGTTCCCCATGTATGCTAGATAGGAATATAACCTTGGAATTCAACTTTGCATGATAATTAGACAAACATAGATCCAAGGTTATTAGGGTTGCATGTACACTTAGGAAGTGTTAGAATGCTCAAAACCCATCAGTGGTATCAGAGCCTAGGCTTGTTTGCTCTTATTTGTGCTTAAAAGTTGAAAAAGAATCGGAAATCTTGCTGTCTGCGAATGGACTCGTCGAGTCTATAGGGGGGACTCGTCGAGTTCATGAGTATCTTCAACCAACTCGGCGAGTGAGTTCATGCACTCGGCGAGTAGGGTCGACTGATTGCAGAATTTCGATTTAGTTGCTGGAAATGAATTAGAAACATTACCCTAAACTGTTTTGGTAATTGAAAACTTGTTTTGTGGTGTAATGTCTTTGCTAATTCATTTACAACAACTAGTTATCAAAATTACAAAGTTTTAAATGTAATTTTTGATTGTGTTCATATTCATGTTCTTGTTCTTATGATGTTTTAGATGATCATAGGAATTATTTGTAACCTATGTGGTAGATTAATTCTTGATCATAATGTGTTTTAATGGAGTCCATAACTTATCCTTAAGTTATGGAAAACCAAGAGTCACACTTGAATTAAAACCATTAAAAACACAAGAGTTAGAAAAATGAAGAGTCTTCATTTTATTACTCTATTAAACTCATAAGTTACAAGAAATGAAAAGTTTTGAAAGTTACAAAACTTGCCCTCAAGTTTTGGAACAAGTAAAGTTAAGTTAAAACTTTAAGTTCCAACCCCTAGAATTTTAAAAGTTAAAATTCAACCCTTATACTTATATTATGATGATTTAATAATTATATATATATATATATATATATATATATATATATATATATATATATATATGTATAAGAATAAAGTCGTCTTACCGCTAGTACGCCTCATTCACGAAGCCGGTCTATAAGGTGGGTATAAGGTTGTTGCCTATAAAATGGTGACTTAATGGGTGTATTCTCACCCACCGCTTGCTTGACTGGTGGAGGGTCGTTAGCCGAACGGGTAAGACAAGGACTTATAAATTCTCATTCAAAGTATGATGAATATAATAAAGTAACTAAATGTTTATTAAATTCCCAATCTTAGTTACTTTAGGAAAAATGTGAATAAGGTGCTAATCCATGAAATTACACTTTACACTTTGTCTAAGTCGTTGGTGGAGCGTGTGTGGTTAACCGGCACACTAACTTGGACTTAACAAGGTAGGTAAAGGGTGACTTAAGGTTTATTATAGTATCGGTGGAGCGTGTGTGGTTTACCGGCACATCGATTGAGTGATAAACTTTAAGGGTACCAAGTGATTTGCATGGTTACTTCACACCTCGTTTTGTGATCCTCGGTATCCCAGTCACAAAACTTGGAGGGCACTCTCGAGATTGAAACATGCCTTTGAAAAGTTCATTGGATCTCAAAGAATCTAGGAATTTCTAAAACCAATAAAAACTAAATATCTAATATTTCGGTTTTCGTGGTGGAAATTGGTGAATCGCCATTCACCTACCTTTCAAATATGGTATAACTTAGATTACGGCATACCTCTTCTAAGTTATATTATATTGTGATTGGATCCTAGCCTTAATATTACATTTGGGTGTTTTATTAAACTTGTTCTTCTCTTTCAGATGTCTTCAAATAATGCTTCTGGCTCGAATCCTAATGGCTCCTTTACTCTTATGAGTTTGTGTGGGAAAGTCACCTTTGATGGATCCAACTTCAATAATGGATCAGAAACATCAGGATGATTACCCGCTACGAGGACAAAGAATATGTCCTTGACAAGGAGCTTAAGGAAATTGATGAGTCCACTGCAACTCCCAGGAGATCGCTGACTTTCATACTCATGAAAGAGATGCAACCAAGGTGGCTTGCATCATGTTGGCCACAATGACAGCTGAACTCCAAAAGTCTTATGAAGATTTCTACCCTTATGAAATGCACCAAGATTTGATGGAAAGATACCATCAAAGTGCACGACAAGAGAGGTACGAAGTCATCTGCTCCATGATAACAACCATGATGAAGGACGGAGAGTCCGTCACGAGCCACATGCAGAAAATGCAAAGGTATGTGGATCGTTTGCTGAAGCTTAATGTGAACTTCCCTGAGGAGCTTGCAATAGATATCATTTTGCACTCCTTACCATCGTGCTATGATCAATTCCGCATGACATATCACATGAACAAGGAAGAGGTCACCCTCAGCAAACTTCAGGGACTTCTCAAGACCGCAGAAACAGGTCTTAAGGGGAAGTCGGTTGCTATCACTCCTACTCCAGACTCAACTCCGGTCTTGGCAATCGGGCAAAGTCGAGGGAGGAAGAGAAAGAGATCTTCGAAGGGTACCAAGGCTCGGACCCTTGATGGCTCTTCTTCAAGTGGAACCAAGAAAGGTTTCATTACTCCTTCTTCTGACCCAAAAGAGGCTGAATGCTTCTATTGCCATGAAAAAGCTCATTGGAAGCGGAACTGCCCAAAGTACCAGCAGGATGTGAAGGATGGGAAAGTCAAACCCAACCATGCAGGTATTTACACTATCATTTCTAATAACTCACCCCATTCGAAATCTTGGGTCCTTGATACCGGTTGCGGTATTCATATTTGTTGTGACTTGCAGGGACTAGGAAGAAGTGAGAATGTGGAGCAAGGAAGAATAAACTTAATCATGGGGAATAGGAAAGTTACACCTGTCACCAAGATTGGAGTTTATACTTTATCGCTAAGTAGTGGGTTAAATTTAGATTTGAATAAATGTTGTTATTCGCCAGAAATGGCAAGAAATATTATTTCCTTTCATGCATTGTACAAACAAGGTTTCACCTTTTCGTTTGATAATGAAGTTGGTTCGATTAATGCTTTCTTTAATAATGTACTTTATTTTAAAGCATTACCTTGTGATGGTGTGTATGAAGCTGTATCTGTTGTAGATAACTTAGGAAATAATGTTTTGTGTATTGATTCTACTAATAATAATAACTTGGATAAAGCATCATTATGGCATTGTCGTCTTGGACATATAAGCAAGAAACGCATAGGCCAACTCCAAAAGGATGGAGTCTTGGAGTCGTTTGACCTAAAGTCAAATGATAGTTGCGAATCATGCTTACTTGGAAAAATGACAAAGTCACCCTTCACAGGCTCGTGTGAAAGGGGTGAAGGTTTGTTGGACCTTATACACACGGATGTGTGTGGACCATTCAAACATGCCACAAGGGATGCTAATCGTTATTATTTGACTTTTACTGATGATTACAGTAGATATGGATATGTCTACTTAATCAAGCATAAGTCAGAGACTTTCGAGAAGTTTAAGGAATTTAAACAGGAAGTCGAGAATCAATTGGGCAGGAACATTAAGATGCTTCGATCCGATCGGGTGGTGAGTATCTTAGTTCAGAGTTCCTCGACTATCTAAGGGAATGTGGGATTGTCTCACAATTGACACCTCCCAGGACACCGCAGTTGAATGGTGTGGCTGAGAGGCGTAATCGAACCTTGTTGGACATGGTTCGTTCCATGATGAGTCGAGCTTCGCTACCAATCTCATTCTGGGGGTATGCCTTAGAGACTGCCGCCCATATCCTTAATCTAGTCCCTACAAAGAAAGTTGCCAAAACTCCTCACGAGATGTGGACTGGTAAAGTACCTAAACTAGACCACATCAAGATTTGGGGTTGCGA